TCAAGTTCTCGGTTGTAATACAGCACAATGTCCACCAGATGGCGCATTCAAGTTCTCGGTTGTAATACAGCACAATGTCCACCAGATGGCGCATTTAAGTTCTCGGTTGTAATACAGCACAATGTCCACCAGATGGTGCAATCAAGTTCTCAGATGTAAAACAGCACAATGTCCACCAGATGGCGCATTCAAGTTCTCGGTTGTAATACAGCACAATGTCCGCCAGATGGCGCATTCAAGTTCTACAATCTCCACTTCCTTGCTCCGCTACTATCACTGCATCATTCTTTACACTCCGCACTTTTTCTGTTCTCTTCTTCATGTCACTGGCAGCCGGCTGCTTGACTTTATTCCTTTTCTTTCTTTTCCATGTGACTCTGCTCTCGCTCGCCTTCAGCCTCGTATCCCAAATCCCTTTTGACACAGTTTCAAGCACACAGTTGAAATATTCTCACCTGGCTCAGAGTAGGCCCACTATAGTTTCAGCGTCTTTCAATTTATGCCCGATTTAATGCAACGATGTGTCAGGCTAGGTAAACTCCTCCCTCATTAGTGCAGGCCGTGTCTTCCTGCTGAGTCACACCCTCATCCAGGATGAGGCTGCACAACGCAGATAGTTGCATAAATGTTTTTTTTTTTGTACTTCAGTTCAACAATTTCAATTCAACATTACATTTTCATTGTTTTCACAAACACAGTTTTTAATTATTTAGCTCCTCTCTCCTCCTCCAAACACTCACAGCCTCCAACAGTCACGATGTAACTAATGCAGAATTTGATGTAACAGGCTCCTGCTGACCTTTCTGATGGCACCTTTGTGAGCGTATGGAGGATCGATCGGAGAGGCCCTGGACCCTTTGGTGGTCAGGACCGTGTCACCCAAAACTTCTCCTCGGGATCACCAAGTTTTGTTGTGTTCTTTTTTCCCGAGATATGAGAAGAGTCAATCCGTGTACAATCAATAACCATTTATTACCAAACAATGAAAAAGCATTACATAGCTATGGGCACCCTCACACAACTTCGTCGTCCCTACATTTGGCATCACACAGTTTCTGTAACAGGAGAATTAACGTGATTGGTCAATAATGGCGGGGAACAGCCGTGGTTTAGACTCAGTTCCCTTGTTGGTGCACAGGCTCAGTCCCGGCCTCTTGGCAGAACTTTCCCGGACGTGTCCTGCAGCTCCCTATGAGCACGTTGCAATCATGTTCGTGTGTTAATTCTCCAAACAATGGTCATGCTGAAACTGGCAAAACTAAAGCTGTGAACAAGAGATGGCTGCTGAAAATGGTGCACACAGTGTTTAACAACTCAAAAGTAATACACTCCACACACACATGCAGAGATTTGCATTATTAGCTGTGTTTCAGCAAATAGGGCAGTTGAGCAGCCTGCTTCAAAACCAGAGTGCTGTGGATCAAGAAGATTGAAAGTTGATTACTTTACCAGCATGGTGACGCTCATGTGTGCACAAACATTTCAGAGATTCTAATCCGCTCAACTGCTTGGGAAAAGAAGGGTCTGAGATTGGTTTAGGGAAGCAGACCAAAATGCTAAGCTAACACCAGTCACTCCACCAATCAGCCTTGCTTGGCTACACCTGTACTAGCCCCGCCTCTGGCTGATTGCTCAAACACACCTATATAAAAGGACACACATGGAGAGGTGAGTGAGTCAACACAGAGTGCAGTTACCTCACATGTAGAACCTTCACACAATGGGAATCACATTGCAGCACTTTAACTCGAGCTGCTTCTCTTTTGCTCTCAAATACTTGGTTGAAACAAAATGCTACGTCGTGCAATTCCAGCCTACACACAAACAGACAAAGTGGCTTCGTGTGGACACAGTCTATTTGGACTCAGAGGAATAAAATTATTGACATACCATAAATAAACATATGTTAGCATGTCGTCTAAAATATCTTTAAAAAGTCATACGTTAACATGTTATCTGAAATCACATATAAAAGTCATGGGGTTAATGGTCACGTGATGTCCACACTGATACAGGAAATAAACAGACAGAAGTTTTTGTGTCCCTCATTAATGTCCCACATGATCTYAATTCATCTGAATCATTTGAAGTCGTCTGTTATTTTCATCTTCTTTTCATTCAAACACTTGTCACAGATAGTTTGTGACAGAAGAACCTCTGGAACAGATCTATACAAGTGATAACCAACAACTGGAACAAGCTGACATGTCTCAGTCCTTCCATATTGTTATATTCTTATTCCTTTTTTTACTCTATATCATCTTAATGTACTAAAGCTGTGTGATGAGTCTGGTGCAGTACAAATGTCATGTTTGGAGTTGAGAGTACTTCCAAGTCGTACTCCAATAACACATCCTGAGGTCCAGGAAACGACTCCTGTGTCAGAGGCGTGTCCATACCTGGTTCGAGGCTTCATTGTTTTTTTAATTGCCAATATGTGTCAAGTGATGCTAAAGATATTGATGAATAAATTGACACATTCATTCTAAATGCTCACTTTCACACACTGAATTGATTCATGTGAACTACAAATCAAAAAGACACAAAAAGTGAGCGAGGCTCTTTGTTTCCTATTAACCATCAGAAATGTAGCTGAGACTTTTACCACCTATAGTGAGAAGTCACAGTACAATAAGGACATGAAGAATGTGAGCTTGAACCAGGACAGTTTCAATGTTTACTTTTCAACAACTTGCTCCCCAAACAGAACCACTTCCGTCGATGACCCACCACAATAAAAGTCCCGTACAGCTACACCGCTTATGATGTCAGGAAACACAAATTCACTTCATTAGCTATATATTCGCCATATATTGTTTCTTGTGCGTCTTTTTCCCTTTATAGTGTCAATACTCGTAGAACATCGTGAAACCGTGATATTTCCTCTTTTAACAATTGTGGCACCAAAATGTAATATCGTGACATCCCTAGTTCGGGAATGACCTCTGCTATCTATTCTTCAACTTTCAAGAACTTTTACTGTAGAAACTTTTACATTAAGGCATCTATAACTTGTTAAATATTAATATAAATTAAAGAGGTGATAAACATATTTTACTTAACAATTGTCGCCTCTTGAGGATCTTCTCAAACAATATGAAATATGAGCAAGTTATTGATGCTGTAACGAAAAGTGGCGAAGAGAGCAAAGAGTTTCATTCATTCATTAAAAACTCCAAACCTCCTGAAACTTGACAGATTCATAATATATGACATTAAATCTGCAGCCTTTTTCTTTTTTGCTCAAACAGTCACAGAATTTTATTCTATTTAATAAAAGCACCGTGTTTACTAAAGGAGGGGGCGTGACCCGCGTGGAGAAGCTAGCGATAGCCGCTATTAGCTCAGCTGCTCATCTAACCCCAGACACCGCGTGTCAAATCCGTGAATCAGTAAGAGAGGGACCAAAGCAATGTGAACAACAGTGGCAGAGTGAACATGGTTCGAAACCCGCCTCCCAGGGTCAGCAGGACGGTAAAGTTCAGTCTGCGGAGGAGACGCGAGCAGCAGCCGGAGTATGGACACAAACAACTCAGACCAGGAAGTGGAAACGGAAGTGACGAAGCACGCTCACCTCAGTTATTGTTTCAATTCAATTTTATTTGTATTGTGCCAAATCCTATTATACATTATCTCAAGGCACTTTACATAGAAAATCAACACCTCAAAATCTTATTTAATATAGAGAAACCCAACAGTTCCCACAATGAGCAGCACTTTGGTGTTACTTTGATATTAATGACAATGAAAAGCTGATCATTATTGTCATAGTTTGTTTCCCAGCCTGAAGATAAATGTCCACTTATTCCTGTCTTGACTTTGATATTGATGAAAATGAAAAGCTGATCATTATTGTCATACTAAGATGCTTTTACGTCATGTTGGACATCATACTATACAATGACGTTTTCATGACTGAATGATAACTACTTTATTTATTTTAACAGACATTCCATTTATCTTGTTCATTTCTAGCATGTTGAGAATACAAAATTGCTCCAGAATGGATTTAACAATGGTTAACAATCTTAAATCTTTAAAACTAAAAACCGTTTCACAAGAAAATAATAAAATGATGTGATTATCTGATGTCTCAACATGATCAACAATAATAGTAATATTACAAAACAAATCATGTTAACTATAAGTATTTTCAAAGCCAGTTCTATTTTCAACAGGACAAATGATGACATTATACCATGGATTAATAATAGGTACAACAGTGTTATCACCACAGTTTTAAAGAAAAAACCCTCGTTAACCCTTTTTTTTTTTTTACAAAAATAATGTCAGCAATTGTTGCAAGACTGTGATCACAATTCTTAAGTATCATTGTAAACTATCAGCCTAAAAAAAACAGTTACATACAAGTCAAAGCTTTACTTTTTTGTAGCATTACATGGTAATGAACACTCAGGCATGTTTCACTGAAACAACCAGCATCTGCCTTACTTTGGCAAATAGTTTTATAGAGTGGACTGTCTGACTGACAGTGTTTTTGTGCATTTAAGCGTACACCCCTTTCCCCTTCAGGATCTGCCGCACCTGAGGAAAACACAGAAGTACAATTATCAGCGTGTCACAATACAACATTGAATTCTGCCTGTTTTTCATGCATCATTTCAAAGCCGACCTTTTCATCAATGGGTCCTCCAGGCACCAGCTGAGATGGCAGCTCATTTTCATAATTCCTGGCTCCGGGGTCAGCTCCTTTTCTCATCAGCAGCTTCACCGCTTCAACTTGGCTTTTATGATTTTGCAAAGCACTGACAATATGCAGGGCAGTGTTTCCACTGAATGTCTGAAACGATACGTTTCTCAGTTTTCTAAACCTTTACGATTTTAGCAGCCAATTAAACATTTCTGAAGAGTCTTTGTGTGTGTGACTTACCTTAACATTTACAACGGACAGTGACTGTGGCTGGTCAAGAAAAAGTTGCAGCAGCTCCATGTTTGCCTCCTCAGAAGCCATGTGAAGACAAGTCCGCCCACTTTTGAGATCCTGTTGGAATGAAGCAAGGAGCACCACAGCACAAGCCAGGTAATATTTGAAGTTTGACCTTTTTATCGCTTCATCTTAATCATGAAGTAGTTGAAATAGTTACCTTGGTTGTGAGGGACGCACCCATGAGCAGCAGAGTCTGTATACATTTAATAAACATGTGTTTCCTCTGCATCAGCTCTATTACCAGATAAGAACAAGGACTTTCCAGAGGCCTTAGCTCTTTAATGACTTTGTTGTGAAACAAAACTGCCGTGTGGAGCGGGGTTAGACCTCCAGAGAGAGAAGAGTTGTATTCAATCACAAGGACATTTGACATTTGCAACATAGAATTTTCTTTCAAATAAAACATTCTCACCATCATAATTGAAGATGTCAACATCCATGGTTTGCCCACTCTCGAAAAAGCTGTTGCAGATAGTCTGTGGATACACAAATTATCAGTTTATAGGTAGACAGTCAAAGGCTCTATGACAGATCATGCAGCTGTCTGGTCAACTGGCTCAGATGGTTTAAAGCTCCTAGATTTCAAGATGTGGGTTTAAGTCAACCAATTTTCAACAGAGGTACCCGAGTCAAAGAGCTCAAATGTCAGATCAAGTACCTCAGTTCAACAAGTGAGTAAGTGAAAGCTGCATGACTTGTGGTGACGCACTGACACAGACTTGTTACCTGAAGACTGAGAAAGTGGCCTTTTTCAGAACACACATGCAAAGGCGACCGGCCCCAGAAGTCATGAGTGTTGATTTGTGCTCCGTGCGCTAACAGGTCACGGACAATTAAGTGATGATTGATGGCAGTGGCTATCTGAAGAGCTGTCTGTGGACAAAAATTACATGAATCACGCAAACATGTTGAAGTCGGATGGACACAAATTGGTCAAGAGTGTGTACCTGGCCGTTGTGCTCCTTCACATCCAAAGCGCCACATTTTGCCATTTTTCCAGCAAGCACATAAGCCAGAGCCCGTCTCCCTTGCGCCACAGCAATGTGCAGATACCTGGCAGTTGGGAAAGGAAATGTCAGTAAAACCACATGCAAATGATATCAATGTTGCACTGTAGACTTTACTAAATCGCCTTTTCATCATCCATACATACGTGTCACCATCTGCATCTTGCCAGGTGAGCAGCTCAGGGGAAATGTCTCCAACTTTCTGTTCTGCTTGCTGTATTTGCCAGTAAAACAGAGATATTTTGATCTCAGCAGTCTGAGCCACGTTTCCCCAATGAGCCGGACTCTGCATGTGCTTTAAGTGAACACTGTCAGGACACGCAGGAGGGAAATGAGTGGGGGTATTTGGGTTTACTGGTACATGAGGGCCCAACGTGTGCGGACTCGCATCACCAGTACAAGTTTCCTGTTTCGCAGATTTAAATGTATGCTCCATGCAGTTGTCCTCCTTTGAGCAGTTCCATTTCTGAAAGAGAATCATTTTCAAATGGTTTTTACTACTCAGTACATTTATGTAAGCATGTGAATGTAATATATACAAACACTTGAATGATTTCCATACTTATCTTAAACTATTTTCTTATCTGTGAAGTGACCTTCCTCATATCCCTCATGTCAACATTGACACATACTCACACAAGATTAAACTTTGTCACTAACCTGGCGTTTCAACATTAGCAGCTCTTTCACCGTGTTGGTCCTCTGCATGGTTGCCTGGATGGACTCTTGTGATCTAACATTAGCTACTTTGCAAAATCACAAAACAAACAAGTAAACGATGGCATGTTATCACAGATTTAATTACCCAGGCAACAATACTATATAGCAAGTATAATCCAAATAGTTTTAACCTGTGTGTATCCTACAGACAGCGAATGAGTATATGTATTTAGTTACTCCCCCCCAAGGAAAAATGTATTCTGTACACTGATGGGTGTTGAGAGCATTAAATGTGTGATTATTAACACGTCTTGTCGTCTTATGTGATTGTATGTAAAACAAACAAGATAAAAATGTAATACATGTTTTTTCTATGAAACTTTTCTATAAATTTAAATCGCAGACGTGAAACTTCTTTTGACCCACCCCCTTATAGGACATTCAATTTTTGGAGCATGACAGTATGGAAGTACAAGTATACTATTGTTAATATTACATTAATAATAATTACCTATTCAAACCACAAGATAATTATTAGTTAAGTTAGTAATTATAAAGACCAATTATTTATAATGACATACATAGAAGACTGCTGTAATAAAACCACCTGGTCAGTTTTTGAAGTGTTCAAGATGAAAGTATGAGGTGAACTGCCTTGCCCCCCACCCATCATGAAAACAGTGTCCTGTGCAGTAACTGACCTTCATAATTGTGGCTGAGGCCTGAGGTGCCATTCAATCCTGGATCCAACATGTTTTAAGAAGTCATTTGTTGACTTTCACCACCTGAAGTTTCTCTTCGCCCTCAAAATCCTGCAATGTTAACAGCCTCTCTGAAGTGAAGCGTAGAGCATTAATGATCCGCCTAACCTGTCCGCACCCTTCTGCTAGACAAGATCAGAAATGAGGAACAACAGCAAAAACAATACAACTTCCTGGTTGATAGCTCACCTAGGAGAGTGAGGCGGTTTCAAAATAAAAGCATTGACCCATTAAATGGAATGCTGATCCAGCTAATAAATACTTAAGGTGAATGTTACATTGATTTGAATGCATGTTTCCTTTCAAAGTATCCATAGAATATATACTAAAGACTAACAGGTTCTTCGTCCTGCAGTTGTTCCAGATGTATACACTTCACTTGACATTGCCGTTGGTATGAACCACTCCCCTGTCAACAGCGCCTACATGTTAGGGTTTCCCCTCAAAGAAAGATCTGGTTTTTCTTGGCTCTTCTCCAGATGCAGCCCATGACATGCCAGTTTGTCATAACAACAAAAAAGTAATGACTTCTTATTTTTCGAAATAAATGGCAAAAATAGATTCAGACACACGTCAATATCAGCGACACCTATAATCAATGTTTTTATTCCCAGTCTGCTTTTGATATTTTAGAACAGCCAGTACGTTTTTTTGATGCAACTTATTGTCCCACGCTCCGAACTTACATTCTGTGACAACAACAGACAGATACACAGTTTCCTCATTTTAGAGCCAACAGATATCCAACCAATGCCTGTCGCTCTGTTGCTGCCTCGCTACTTGCCTCGCTACTCATCTGACATTTGACTGTCAAGACATGTGAATATCAAAATTAGTTTTGGACCTGAACAGGACTGTACACTGCTTTCATATGGTCATATTAAGTGCATTTCTCCAATTTCACATTTTAAACACTTGTCATTTCATTAATAAATATCAATTAATGTGTTATATATCCAAAAAGTGCACTTTAAGCCTTTACACCAATTGCCATCATACCGTCCATTAAAGGTTCAGTGTGTAGAATTTAGTGGTGAAGTTGAATACCCCCTCAACTCACCCTTCCCTTCAAAACCTGTGGTAGCTTTCAGTTGTCATAAAAACTCAAAAGGTGTTTAGTTTGTCCAATCTGGGCTACTGTAAAAAAAAAACAGAGGCCTACCCGCTCCAGATGAAAATATAAAGTATTTAAATATAAAGGTCCATTCTAGGTTAAAGCAAACAAATCATACGTTTTAGATGAAACACTCACTGAGATTATTTTATAATAGATCCCTTGCACCTAAATCTTTCACACTGAACCTTTAACTTTATACATTAATACATAAACCATTTCTTTCAAATAATACCCATTTACACGGAAGCACTGGTTTCCTTTCAACTTCTACTCCACACAGTAGACAAACATGACAAATGTTGGGCAACAATGTAAATACTGAGATTCATTTACTCACTTCCACTACTTCAAGGTTAATTCTTTAAACCTGGACTGTACAGCACAGTGGAATAAATCAGAAATTCCTATGGTTTCATAAAACAAAAAAATGTCCTGAACCCTTCGTCTAATAAAACTGATTTGAGAGTGAATGCATACAAAATGTTTACAGTTGGTTTTTGCATATTTAGAGTTCAGTGGCAATAAATATCATTTGCGATTTTCCATTTTAAATCGTGACCTTACAAATAATTAAAGCTTTCTAGGCTGTAAAAAGCTTTAGATGAACATTTTCAATCTTCAATCAAAATAAACAAATTTACTTCCTTCGTACTTCAAGGATGTTTGCGGTTTTTTGGATTTTGTGAGTTTCCATTGCATGTTTGCCCATTACACAAAACACATTAACTTTTTATAAATATTAAATTAAAACAAAAAACATAATTTTCACCAAAAACAAACTGTTCGTTAACTCCAGCTCCTTTCTTCACTTGTTTTCACATTTCATTTGTCTTAATCCTAACTGTTAGAATATATATTCACATACTCTTGTTAGTTCACAGATCCCACAAGACAAAAGAAAAAATAAAATCTTATCACTTACCATCGTCGGGAATACAACATCACAAGATGACAGCTGAGAGATGATGTCAATTAACTTTGGAAAGGTTAAAACAATCTGAACTACCATCTGTAGAGTTTCTATACAAATAAACTCAAATCGTACTTTTCTGTAGCAATATTGTACCCAAAAAAACAAAAACACTGCATGCAAAAAAAAAAAAAAAAAAATCTGGTTTAATGTACACAGAAAATGAATTCCCATTAGTCATTTCAAATTCGTCCTCATGTCCCTAGTCGATGGTAAGATTCAGCAAAAGCGTTCTTCTGGAATGGAGGTTGGAAGTGGTGGTCGGCTCAGAGAGTGTTTGATTCCACTTTCCCTCTTTGCTGCAAAGCTTCCAGGATTCTAAACCTAGTTGTGGCCTAATGTGGAAATAAAAATAAAGAAAGCAGTATGTAAGTGTCATTTAAAGAAAGGTGGACGTTACAATGCTCAAAGCAAACATCAAGATTACTCAGTTGTACCTAACATGGTTCTGGTTCTTTTTGTTTTTGTAGGAAGGCTGAGTTAATGTTCTGCTCTAGTCCTTAGAAAGTCAAGTTGTCCATTGTTCTTATGTGGAGGGTCACATTTCAACCAGCTCCTTGTGACGGCTTTTTAGACATGTGTCAAGTGTCAAGATTTTTAAAGAGATGCATGTCCTTTAGAATTACCCAAAATACTCCAGAATCTGAATTACCCACTCCCAGAATTGTTGTATTCTTTATACCTGACACCTGAAGTTTCATCTAAAAACATATTTACTAAAGTGAAATTACTCCAGTCCAACAGTGTATGCAAGAACTTTATGCTTCACGAACATGGAGGTAGAAACTGACCTGCAAGGTACTTAGCACCCACTAACATCAACATGCTGCCCATGATGTAAAAGCCCAGGGGGACGCTGCTGAAGATGCTCGTTTCACCTTTGTGTCGTTAGAACAGAAAGGGACAACGATTGGAGCACATGAGACAGAAAAACAGACAAAATTCAAGTTAGTCATTTTAAATTGGTCTTTCCATTTTATATTCATGGGGATCTGACATTTTTACAGGATTGTGCGTGCAGTATTTTATTACATCGATACAGTGTGATTTCTGAGCTTATTTATGTAGAAACTAGATGGTAGTTCAGCTCGTTGTAACCTGTCCACAGTGGTATTACATCAACTGTCTAATCTTTTATTGTAATTCAACAACTACTCGTGATGTTTTGAGCATAACGTGTTTCTTACCGTTTCCATTACCAGCAGGCTCTGTCGTCTCCCAGTTCATGGACTTCTGAACCGCCTTCTTCCACCGTGCGTACCGTAACTCGCTCTCTGCCGACCAAATCAACTTTTTATCTTTACGTTTATTTTCACAGCAGCTACTGAGGATGTGTACAATGCCATCATCTCATCTTTTCTTTGTTGTGTACACTCATCGTACCTTCAGGGTTTATCTGAGGCTCAAACTTCTCTGATGTGACTTCACTCAGGTCCTCGGGGCTCAGACTCCACACGCTCACACCCTCCGCTGCTCCGGCTGCCATCGCTGCACCGAGCGCTGTGGTCTCAGGCATGGACGGCTTCACTGAAAAACAATAATTGACCAATTTATTTAGCCAGTTATGACAGAGCCAATAACTGCCATATGGAAATACTACACAGCTTGTTCTACTCTTCCTTATATTTCTTCAAAGCACCATTTTCATTTTAAATTTGTCTGGAAATATTTAGAGGTCGTTTTGCAGAACAGTCAGAGTCCAAACTGTACTAAATATCTGCACATTAATAATTGTGAATCTGTACAAATAAAAGTTGTGCTTGATCAACAAGTATATTCTGCTACACTGACAGGAATGCATTGGTAAATCACAGTATTAACCAGTATATTAACAGTTTGATGCTCAGCAAATACACACAACACATGTTGTCGCATTAGATAAAGTAAAAGATCAGTTTTCAGACCAGGGTGACCTTTCGGACGGGAACCGGTTTGATCACTGCAGGAATTTATTATGCAAAGAATGGGTGCGCTCTCTTCAGTTTTGATTTAGGCGTGACGCTCAGTGGGTGTACCTGGCAAGAATGTACCGCCCTCTCACCTGTGTCTGCTGGGATTGGATCCAGCTCCCCCTGCTTCCCTTAAATGAGTAGTGTAGAAAATGCACTTGCACAATTCAATTCAATTTTTTTTACAGATTCCCATAAGAGAAAGGATGAATATTTCTGTTTCTGATACATGGAAGTGCTGCATTCATTTGTAGGTCTATTATTCAAACTGTGCCCAAATGAGTTAAGCTTTGTAAATTGATCCTTGGATAAACTGGTTATCATCGCAATGCCTTATAATTTTATATATTATATTTCAGCCCGAATGTTCTAGGGAAAAGGGATAAACCATCTCACATTATTATCTAGCACACTAAACTTCTACCCGAACAATAAAAACATTTCTTGCTTAATAAACAATTGCGTCCTCTCCCTGACTTTATTTTTCATGATACACACAAGGTTAAATAACTAATCAGGAAAAGGAAATCAGACCCACAGACACCGATCATTTAAAAACTGAGGCTAAATCAGAAACAAAATAGTTTATTGGTTCTGTTTTATTATTACTAAATCTGCAGTGATTCTGGGATGTACATTTCCAGCAAATGGTTGTGTTCGAGTAGTAAAAGATGTTGGTACCATGTCTCCTCTGAGATGCATCCTCGCTCCAACAAACACAAATAGAAGCATGAAAACATGGTGTGCAGACTGGAACCATTTGTGACTCAAGTTCGAATCAAGGAGCAGATCAAAAGAAAGTAATCACTAAATGAAGGGGAATAAATGGAAACCTTACCAACAGGGATACAGAGAATGTCCGCCTGCAGCTGCATTAGCAGTCTGTTGGACGTCATTCCTCCGTCCACCTGGAGCTGAGTTAGAGGGATGCCGCTGTCCTGATTCATAGCGTCCAGTATCTGCAAACAAATATCAGGACATAACGCAAGCAATACAATTTCTCTCAACAAGCAGTCAAAGGTCGAGAGCAGGATTATTTTTGAAGAGATGGGATTTTTTTCACCCAAAAATAATCTAGCATAAAGGAATGAAAAATAAGAGAATGAATTACATAACTGAAAGAAAACGGGATATTAATTCATACAGCTGACCTCACACATATGATCAGACCATTTGGAAATGATAGGGGGGAAACAAAATAGACAATATCACGTCATTCAAATAAACTCCATCCCCCTATGATGATGCAGCACTTGGTCTTGTCCATTTTACTTGGCCTCTGTATTTCACTCTGATAATAAGGGCAGTGTAAACTAAATGTGTGTCTTCAGGGGAGCACTTACCTCTCGTGTCTGGAAACAGACGGCTTCCAGCGCAGAGAACGCAAGATGGCTCTTATTCGTAAACTGCGTCAACCCACATATGATCCTGTGACACAGGGATCAAATCAGAGAGCAAGATTTACTTCAGCAGGCTGTTTGAGTAATTGTAGACAGGTTTACAGCACCACCATGGAACCTCTTGCTCTTACCCTCTTGCACTGGGCTCCCAGTACGGTGCGTAAAGACCTGAAAATGCCGGAACGAAGTAGCAACCGTAGGAAGTGCCGACTGACGCAGCCAACTTCTCTGCAGAATAACCAGGAAAGGAACATATCACCGACTACAACGAATAAATTACACCACGGTCCGATGTCGATCGTCACATTTTCTGAACAAAGACATGTTGGACTCACCAAGTTCTTCAGATGACCCGATGATTCCGAGATTGTCCTGCAGCCAACGAACCACAGCTCCCGCAATGGCCACAGAGCCCTGGGAAGAAAAAAGCAGGGGGAAAAAATAGAACTGAATCCTTTTGACACAATATATTTCACATTTGGGTCAAACTACCAGCTTATTTTTGACACTATACCTCTAGTGCATAACAGGCAGGTGTGTCCCGGCCAAGTTTGTATGCCACAGTGGTCAGAAGTCCGTGGTCAGACATCACAGGCTTGAAAAAATACAGAGAAATGTCACAGCATGGAATGGGTGCAGATGTTTAAAACTCAAATCTGAAGTAATGTACCTTGGCTCCAGTGTTTCGCAGCAGAAAGCAGCCGGTTCCATACCTGAAACAAAGATGGGATTAGGTTGAATTTCTAACGAAGGAGAACTTTTGCCACAAAGGGAACCTTACGTGTTTTTCGCTTGCCCGTCCTGAAAACACATCTGTCCGACCAGAGCTGCCGACTGATCCCCGAGGCACTGCGGTTAAAGAAAATACATCAGGTTACAAACAGAATTTAAGAGTACGTGGTGTGCATGGGAAAAAAGAAATACACTCACCCCTGAAATGGGAATACCTGATAGAGCTCCAGATTTCTGTCAGAAGAAAAGATTTGTTTCAGTGTTTTTCCAGCTTTGATCACATTAAATAAGCATTTGAAATTAGTTTGTAAGTATGTTGCATTTCTGGTTTTATGAGCACCAAAAAGTTTTAAATTTGTTTTAAATACATTTTCTGTCAGAATTAGAAAATGGTATTATCATGAATATTATATTATACACCTGAGGGTATTTCAGGAGGTGTTGATCGATTAACAAATTTAAAAATACATCTTTAGTCTTCATGTTTAGTCACAATGAACAGCTTTGCCCTGACACCACAAAGCTCATTATTTGACTACATGAAGCCAAATAACAAAACTAAACCAATTCCACCGCAACATCTGCACTTGAAGCGTACTGTAACCGTGGAAACAGGGGAAACAAGGGCAAGTGAGAGCCTGTTAATGTGAAAATGTCTTCACTCCTACACGAGCCCGCCATTTTGATTTGAGATGTTTGAGGGCGGAGAATAAGAGTCGGATAAATACAACTGTGCCAAAGAGTGAAGAGATTTGGGAGACGGGATGGGACGCTGCAGAGGATGATGGTCAGCGGAGCCGTGACGACCATCTGAGTAACATGCCATAGGACATAAGCAATTAGGGGGACAGGGGCCATCCAGTACATTCACAACAGGGCATATACTTTATGTATGACCTTAAACACTTCCACATGTTTAGCTTTACTGTGTCGCCCATCTTCTGAACCTAAACCTACACCATGTGATAATTGCTACTTGTCTTGGTATCATCTCTCTATTTCAGAGACCAAGATGTTCAACAAAGAAAAACAACAATCCCGACTTTAGAAACCAGTTGGTGTCAGACACCTCAAACCGGCCACATCTAAAATGGTCCCAATTCGCAAGGCGATTGTGTAGCTCAACTGTTCATCGTCTTATGCCAAAAGTAGATTACAACACCAAATGTAGCGTGTTAAAGAGTTGTTATTAATATATCAGCAAATATGAGCCTTTCACACACATCAGTATCTGCATTAGGTTTTTAATAAGAGCTGACATGATTTTACAGAACAAACGTTGCAGAAAAGTTGTGCTTTTTACCTAAAATGTTAATTTTGTTTAAATTCAAGTTCCATATTGATTGCGTGTGTTATTTTGTTATTTATAGTTACATATACGGTCAAACTGCAAATTACCAAGCCTGAATTAAATCTTGACAGGAGGGTTTGAAAACTTGGGGATGTTGTCACCGAAATTTCTAATACCATTATATCAGCAAAACATTTGAAGCCGCAGTTAGTGTTGTGCTTCAGATTTGCAGCATGGTTAGTTCCTCAGAGTTTCAGATATACTCATGGTTCATTTTACTGATGAGCACATGCTTTGGCGGAAAATAAGAGCAATCACCATCAGCAATAATCAATTGTGAGGATACATCAATTCCCAAACTAATATTGATATGGATTCGGGAAATGCACTGTATGATGGCGTGATCGCTTTGGCAACGGAGAAGTAGGATGGGTTATTTTGCATGATGAGGTGAAAGAGTGATGGTGAGGATTACTTACCCGGCTAGAACATATTTTCTACCATTGAGAAAAGAGAGACAATAGCACACACACACACAAGAAATGCCTCAAAGACTTTCTTAGTCAACCTTCATGCACTTTTATCAGTCACAATAAACAGCAGTGAAATCGTTAGGATTTAACAGTTACTATAAACACTAACTGTGGGGAAATTGTAAGGGGAAGACTTTGTGAGATAAACAGATTTATGCACACTTACCATGAGTCCATATATTTCTGATGAACTCCTCACTCTGGGCAAGATCTCCATGGGGATACCAAAATATCTGATGGGATATAACAGAAGAGCAATCTGTGAGTAATTAAGCAACGTTTGTCGTCAAGTTTAACACAAGAACTGCATCCAACGGTGAAAGTTCAAGATATAATGAATATTTAATGTGCAACAGAAGAATCCAGATGATCCAACAGTTTGTAGGTGAATGTGCTGAGAGCGGACAGGCAGGTGATGAATCCGATCCGGATGGACCACGACAAAAAACAAACTAATGCAAGGAGCAGCCAACCGATGAGAACTTGAGACACAACAAACAGGCAGGAGTCAGGGTAGCAGGTAAAAACAATCAAAAGACAGGCAGGAGTCTCAGTTACCACTGGGTTATACAGACGATTTGATGAATACAGGGTGCAGAGCCAGGGCTTAAATATGGTGTCAGCCGGTGAGTCTTGATTGCTTAATGATAGCAAACGGATAATCAGATGAGGAGAGGTCTCTCCCACTCACAGAGGGAGAGACCGAACACATAGGGGTAAGGGGAAACAAGATGAGAAGGGGTGGGAAGAGAACTGCAGATCCCATCATTTGTATTCCATTTAAAAACCCTCAAATGTAGAAATGAATAATGCTTTAATTTCTGAGTAAAAAAACATAATCATTTCAGTAATATTTGTGGAAGCGATGACACAGCTTTCTTACTTGCAAAGTTCTGGGTCCCATTCCAAAGTGTGAATGTTAAACAGCATGGTTCTACTGGCGTTGGTCACATCTGTGCAGTGCACTCCGCCCGACTTGCCGCCGGTCAGACACTGCCAGACATCCAATACACAAATCAAGTTTGTCACAAAATCCTCCACAATCATCACACAAAATGTCCCGAGCACCTGTGGTCGGGACTCTCTTACCCAGATGAGCCAGGAGTCAACGGTGCCGAACATGGCGCGGTGAGACACGACTGCATCGCGGACCTCGTCCACGTTGTCCATCAGCCAGCGGAGTTTCACCGCGCTGAAGTAAGTGCTGATCGGGAGCCCGGTTTTATGCTGCAGGATGACAGCAACATGATTATATTGTTGCTGCTGCCACAAAGAAATACTTAGTTCATGTTTTTCTATTCAGAAATCTTTTAGATCAGAAATTTTACATGCTTAATTCGCAAATTGGATTCAGTGCTTTTATCATGTATTGTTCATTGACTTACATAACCTTATAACTTAAGTTGTATAGAATTAACTGACATCAGGCATTTGAAGATACTCCAGGAATTGAAAGTCAGCAAAAACACAAATGTGGGCACTGGCAGATGATTTCTATTGCACAGTTCAATTTGTTAAACTGAAAGGGGCTTCAATCAACTTCTCATTGAAATGATTCAAAAATGGCCTGAGAATAAGATGGAGAGAATAAGTCTGTGGAGATATAAGCTTTGTGAAAATGCATGTTTAACCTTCAAATGGTTCTTGTTCCTTCCAGGGGTTTTGTTAATGAGACGTTCAACAGTTGATTGAGTGCGCAGGTCCAGCCAAACTGAACAAACACACTGAAGTTACTTCATAAAAAGCAAAAACCAGTGATGATCTGTGACAGGATAAATAGGACGTAAACAAAACTTAATGTTACCGATTGCATTGTAGAGGGGCTCCCCTGTCTCTTTGTCCCAAATTAGTGTGGTCTCTCTTTGGTTGGTCACTCCAATAGCTGCACAAAATCAAGCACAGTCTTCAGATCTTAAACACCTCTATGAAATACAGAGCAAGTGGCATCACAGGTCCTGTGCGTGCAAACCTTTAATGTTCGAGATGTCGATGTTGAGCTGGGTGAGTTTTTCACACGTCTTCTCCATGCACTCGTACACCGAATGCAGGATTTCTTTGGGGTCCTCCTCTACCCATCTAAAAAAATGTAAAAACAAAATATATAATATTTCTTAATTGCATGTGCATTGCTGCAAATGGATCATGCAGCAAACTATTCACGTACCCTTCTTTGGGGAAGCTCTGCTTGATTTCCACCTGGTGATGGCTGAGGAGCTCAGCTGTTTTTGAGTTGAACACCTGAACAAGAGAAAGAAACCAGCTTCAGACGAATACACACGACACACAGGCCTCCTTTTCTGTAGATCCTGGTCAGATTTCCCATCATCCTTTGTTATTTCGTTCTTCTGGGCAGTTATGGAATTCAGGGCAAAGTGAGATTTAGCTAAAAAGATAAACGTTTAAAGCGATGAAAAGGAAATTTAAATATGGATCACTTTACAACCCAAAAGCAAACACTGGAGGCCATGGGGGGGCCAGACCAGGAAGCACACGTCAGACTCAGGCAACAGTGTGGGATTTTAATGGGAATCTTTACAGACAATTTCCTTCAGCAGTCCTGAAATGACTCATGCAAATTCTTGGCTCAAGACCATCGTGCACACCCAGAAAATATATTAAATGCGCAAACAAAAGAACGCCTGCAGTCGCTAGGGATAAAATGTCTCTTAAGAACTTACAAACACCCCAATGACAGCAAAAGTAAAGATCCTTGATTTATAATTTGGTCTTAAAACGTCAGCTTGTTTTTGCCATATGTGTAGTCTGTAGTTCTGTTGATCAACCTATCTATTAAACATTAAAAGACATTCCCATTTCAACACAGGTTTCTTTGTTTTGCAGCTATTTCCTTTAAAATGTAATTAAATCAATTTAAAAATGTGTTTAATTATTTCCGGTACTGCGATTTCAAATGACATGAGAAAGCTTCACCATTATAAACACAGCCAGACCTGAAATGTAGCATAGCGTAGCTTGCACCGGGAGCAGAGTTTCTCTTACCAGAAACCGAGTGGAGCTGGTTCCCTGGTCGATGGCGGCGACCAGCGGCCCCAGCGTGATCCGGTGCGAGGACGCGGCCATAGCACCGTTCATATGCGGCCCCGGAGCTTCGTGCACCGAGCAGAGGAGAGTGATCACCGCCGGGGACAGGGGATCAACCTCACGCCAAAGTCGGGCGGTGGGTCGCAGTCTTCAAACGTCATTTTTCCCACTCGGCCACTGGTGATGACGCAGAGTACAACTATTTGCTCTATTTGGATTTTTACAAGTTTAAACAGTGGAAATATGTTAATAATCTTTTTTTAATTTGTTTTTACTATACGAATCCTGTCTTTGGTTCCCATGGTTACAGCGACAACCACAGTTGTATGTTGACTAAAGTTTGGTTATTTGGTCATTACCTTACAGCACAGGAAGAACAAACTGATGTAAATAATGACTTTAATTTCGTGAAAAATAATAATCATTCATATGTTGATTAAAATGTAATATATCATTAAGTTTTGCAATCATGACAGAAAAGTTTAGTTCCCATACCGGGAGTCGAACCCGGGCCGCCTGGGTGAAAACCAGGAATCCTAACCGCTAGACCATATGGGAGACTTGCGCTACTCTTCCACTAGGTGGTGAATAAACTTGTAACCTGTAAAGAAATGTAAAAACAATGTAGAAACAATTCAGTTGTTTTTTCTGGTCCACGTCTCAACATTCAACCTCTTACAGATTCTTATTCCACCTATAAACTCTCTCACGTCTCAAGATTCATTATTTTAAAATGTTTGATTTCAGCCTGGGGCCTCAAGCGTCGTCTTTTCGTCGACGGCCGATGACGCCATCACCGACGGACGGTGTTGTTATTGCTGAAATGTGGAGGAGCTGTTTTTTCTTTTTATTTGTTTCGCTTTAACTTCTTCGTCCCGTTTAATCGACCAAAGCTGGGCCAAAATGTAAGTGCGTTGGCACACTGGTGGGTTTAGCTACAGTATACCGATCACGACCACTGAGGTTTTCCGCCCTGGGCAGGATTTCAGACATTATAGCCACGTTAGCTGCTAATGCTAATCTAACTCATTCATATGATTGTCAACTAATCATTTGTGCGTTTTCAGGGCCGACTACTGGAAGTCACAGCCGAGGAAGTTCTGCCAGTACTGCAAATGCTGGATTGCGGACAACAAGCCTGTGAGTCGGCTGAGAGATGGTGGTTATGTTTAAATAGACTATCTATGAAGGTTTAATGCTAATGTCTTTGTTTGTTTGTCTCTGCAGAGCGTCGAGTTCCACGAAAGAGGGAAGAATCACAAAGAAAATGTGGCTGCCAAAATTTCAGAGGTATTCACCTTTATTTCTGTCTGTGTTTAAGTGGGGAGTGAATAATGTTTCGTTTTACTTGTATGTATTTAAAAGGGACACTTTACATTAATTAATATGAACACAATGGGTAATAAAAGTCTCTTGTTGTTAAAAAGAATACACAACAGTTAAAAATTAGACAATTAAAAGGAAACAAAGAAAAGTTGTGATGTTCCTTAGTTCCACGTGCTGCTCGAGGGGAAAAGGCTGAATTGTAGTGATGAGTACTTTAATCTACAACTACTTCTGGTCAACATGCCTTATCAATAGCAACAGATTTGTATTGACGCTTCAAATAATTATCTATCCTAGTTATATATTTATCTTATTTTGCTTGTTGATGTTGAAAATTGCCGTAATTATTTTCTTCAGAAAATAACGACGTCCCAGATGTCTTGGTGTATTTGACCAAATATTCAGTTAACTTTCATGTCTGTCCTTGAAAAAACATCAGATTTCCATATGGATGATGCAGAAACAGCAACTATGATAACTTATTTTCTCTTTCTATTTATTCAGTGAACTAATTAGGTAATTAAATTACAGTGCCATAAAACACAAACACAAATTTTAATATATTAACAGCCACCAAAAACGTGCCTGTCTTGGCACAGCTCTCAGGACTGGCAGAAGAGATAAGGTCCAGGCTCTCCTCTGATGGGCCACTTGTCGCTGTCACTTATGTCTTCCTATCTTTCCTTCTGCAGATTAAAAAGAAGAGCATTGAGAAGTTGAAGCAGGAGGAACGTATGTCTAAAGACTTTGCAGCGATGGAGGAGGCTGCGATGAAGGCGTATGAGGAAGATCTGAAGAGGATGGAAAGGGAGGCAGCAGGTAACTGACACTTGTTGTGAAATAGTGTCTAACTACGGAGGAGAAACTTTTTAAAAATATGTTAAATTCTTTTGTGTTAGGATTAGGTCCACCAGCCGAAACCACAACAGCTCCTCAGCCAAAACCTGTGGTCATATGTCAGACCAGAAAACAGTATAAGAAAGAAATGAAATCAAGCAAGAAATCTGCAAAGCAAAGAGAAACACAGGTTTGGGTTGAAGGTCAATCAGAAGATGGACACACATACTATTACAACTCAGTAACTGGAGGTGAGGAAACTACAACTCTTCCACAACATTTCAATTTAAACTGCCAAACTACAAATTACTATTGTGGTGGGTGGTTTTATTATGTTTTCTGTGTATTTTGTCTACAGAATCTCGATGGGAAAAACCACAGGGTTTCCAGGGAGAAAGTTCAGCCTCTGCACACCCTGGACAGACTAAGGTTAATAATAAAATTTGCAGTTAAATTTCCCTTTATTACAATGCTCTGTTCATAACATGTCTTTATATGTTAATATTGTGTTTATTTTCAGAGCTCTTCAAGTTGTCATTGGATGGAAGCTCTCAGCCCTGATGGTTATACGTATTACTACAACTCAGAGACTGGAGGTATAATATGTTTCTATGCATTCTCATTTTACTTGAATTGTTTTTTAATCCACTTCTTTGCTCCTTTTTCTGGATTAGAGATTCTGTCTGATAATCACGTGCTTTGTCTTTCTCACCTCGCAGAGTCCAGCTGGGAGAAACCGGCAGACTTTCCTTCCAGTGAGGCATCTGGGTCTGGATCCAGCAACGAGGAGAATCAGAAGGAGCCTTCAACCCCTCAGCCCGAGCCACTTTCAGCAGAAGAGAGCTCCAATGAGGCCCAGGCATCTAAGGAGGCAGAGGTCACTGAACAAGCCAGTCAGCAGTCCAAAGTCCCAAAGATCAGTTTCAGGGTGAGGAGAGTCCTGGAAGAAGATTTTAATGCAAATAATTTAACTTCTGTCGGTAAAGATTCTAATTAAAAAATCATTTGTTTGTTTTCAGAAAAGGAAAGCTGAGGCCAGTCCCTCAGATAATGAAGAGGACAATGAAGAAACCAGTGAGGATTCTCCTAAAGAAGATGCTGAAGAGATGAAAAAAGAGGAAGAGGTCCAAAGCACAACAGCTGAACCTGAGGAGAAGAAAGAGGAAGAGAAAAAGAAAGAGTTGGTGGCAACGCAACCCAAAAAGCCAAAGAAAGCCAATCCATACGGAGTCTGGGAACAGATCCAGGAAGAGGAGGATCCATAGTAAGTACTAGTTGAAATGTGGTTTGAATACTTCTGCACCATGAACTGATCCCGATGGATTTCAGCAGCTTCTGGAATTACTTTAACCAATTTTTTTTCTTTACCCTCCAGCGCCAGCATTGACTTACAGTTGCCCCAGGTGGAGGGGAGCGCAGCCAGCGCTCCAGCCGACCTGCCGCCTGAGCCAAAACCCAAGTTCAAAGAACGCATCATCACCTCCCTCGGAGACGAAGGCGGACCTTCTTCGTTCAGGAAAAACAAGACACAGAATGGAAAATCCAGGAGCCTCCGACAGAGAGACAATGACGACTAACTCATCAAGGTTTGGGTTAGGATGCAGCAGATTTAGACTTTTACATAATAAAAACTTCCGGTTGCACCATTTTGATCTGTGAATTCAGCAGAAATATTTTGGGGGGGCAAAATTGGCATGAAACATAAAAGAAAAAAATCTTCATTGTGAAACCTGTGCAACACTTTTATAGTCTTAAGGTTGGTTTGGTCTTGTGTACAGTATTGTCGACATCCAGGTGTGTTGAGTTTACTCACATGGAAAATACTTCTTCCTGTAGTTCGGAAAGTGCGGCTGTATCCATTCAGAGCAATTCAAAACCTTTTTTTGTATTTTTTTACCTGTGTAAGTTATGAGAAGGCGCGTGGAAACATTGCAGTACTTGTCAGTTAAAGTGAATGAGTGTCATATTTTATAAGGTAAAAAATGTGTTCCAAATTAATGATTATAGTTAATTTCACAAGTGAATGATTGATAAATGAATAATAAAAAATGTTTTCACATGATGGTCAGATAACAAGAAAAAATGCACTGGAGGTTGCTGCTCAGCTGGCACACACATGCAGGGTGTGACGTGCATTTGGAGAGTGAGTGTGTGCGTGTATTAAGCTGATAGGTGGTTTTACCGCACCCTGACTGGCAGAGAACCATGAAGAGTATTTACTGACAATAAACACAAGGGATCTATTGACATTCAGTGTAGACAGACAGTTTTACTAAACTTTACCAAGAAGTTGTGATCATGGTGCGGACCAACTCCGATTTTGACCTGGACAACTGAATTTTTATATTCTAAAATCATCTTAAATGGACATCATTCACTTCCCTTTGTTTAAAATATTAATAATCAATACATAACTATGACTCATTATTCAGGGAATCACCATGACATAAAATTCATAATTTAATATTTTATTACAAAAATAAATACCTCTAAATTATGATAATCTTCTTAAGTTACATTCTTTGCAATTTGACTCTTGCACAAATATAAATAGCAATAATGGTAATATTAAAATTAAACATTTCAGTGTAGTACTAACTCATCCTCAAAACTAACATACTGTACATTCGGATCACTTGATGGGAAGTTGTGTGTCAGTCTGCAGATTTTCCAGATTCTGTCAAACTGCTGCTCTCCACCATCTCCAGGAGAGCCTCCCTCTCCATGTGTTCACGTATGTGAGAGATCAGATCGTCAAGAGCCTCCCCTCCTCTCATGAACTCCTGCACATGGAACAGAACCCGTGACAATGATTTTAACGAATGACAAAGTTTTTAAAAACAGATTCAACTGTTAAATGATTCCTTATGGTTTATGCAGAATTTGGAGACACACTGACACTCCCTTAAAATCGAACCTTTATCTCTCGGGTAACATATCCAGTCCTGTGGTCTGTGACACGGTCCTGGCTAAAGTTGTAGGTGCGAATCCTCTCTGACTGAGAACGCGTGCCCACCTGAAGTCAGGAACATGAGCATCAAGTCTTAGCAAAAATATGTGAATGTAACATTTATCTATCTGCTCACTCACCTGCTGCTTCCGTGCTGTGTGCCTCTGCTTAGTCTCTTTACCCATCATGCTCTGGTGAAGCCGGGCCCTCAGCACACGCATGGCGGAGTCTCTGTTTTGCAGCTGAGAGCGGGTCTGCTGACATTCAGCGGTGACGCCTGTTGGGAGGGCGACCGAGGAAACAGAAGGCAGCGCTGTCTCTTGATGTTTTAAAATCCTAAGCGCTTGAAGTGGGTTGAGAACATGTCTGGTTTGTCTTACCTGTGGGGAGATGAACGATGCGCACTGCACTGTCTGTTGTGTTGACACTCTGACCCCCGGCACCCCGAGATCTGAATGTGTCGATGCGAAGATCCTTTGGATCAATGTGGACGTCAAACTATGTACACAAAGGACACAAAAAGAATGAAATGCTTTTATGAGATGCTAATAAACACATGCTGTTGAAAAAGCAGGTGATGAGGAACTGCTGAAGTAAACCTCCACTGGCTGAGGCAGGATAATGACAGCCATGGTTCCTGTGTGGATACGCTGCATCCTGGAGGAGAGGCCGACCTCGGGGATCCTTTGCACCCGGTGTGTTCCTCCTTCATGCTTCAGATGTCTGTACACATTGTCCCCGGTTATTCTCACTGCAGCGTGGTGCAAACCTGAGACACAAAGTTAACTAATGTTAAATCTTTTCTGTCAGAGCCCACAATTCAAGTTTAATAAAGACTGCTGGAAAAAACAGAAACATCTGTTGTTGCGCTCCATACGCTATTTTAAGCTCCACTACTTAAATGAACATTCATCAACATTTTATATTTTGATTTTGCGTAAAAGAAATCAAATCAAACGAGAAAATACAAACATGGCTCTCTGGACAAGACCAAAGGAAGAGGATGAATGAATACAGACAAGAATATGAATTACCATGGTCAGCAGGTGTGTAGTTGTAGACCTCAAAGTCCCAGTTCTTATAACTTGCAAAACCCTGGTACATGTCAAACATTTCTCTGGTGAACTGTTGACAAATATCACCTGAAATGACAGAAATGGGCAACAGGAAGGAAGAGAAAATATTGTTAATGCAGGCATGTCCCATTAGTAAATCAATCACAAGCTGGGAGTCCAAACAATCTGCATACCTCCTGTTGTTCGTCCTGATGCAACCTCCAGCAGGACATTACTGGGGTCAAGAGGGTCAGTGGGCACAAGAGCTTTAATCAACTGGAAAGAAAGAAGGTCCACCCGTTAACCCAGAATCTTCAACATATGCTTCATCATCATGCCTTTGTGTTCTTACATCTTCTCTTAAGCCCAAAATCTGGCTGGAGATTCGTGCTTCCTCCTCTTTCAACAGCTGCGTCAGTTGTTCATCTTCATCTTTGGTACCGACCGACCCTGCAGGCAAGAGGAAAACACAACAGGATGTGCACTTTTGAAGATTTTTTGATACTATCTGCACACAAATGCTCTGACACAACAGAAAAGGACACAATGAATTGATCTCTACAGGAACATGGACATTTGCTTGATGTAAGACTAACTAATTATGATAAAACAGGTCTAAAACGTGATTTCCTGTGTCAATACAAATACTTTTTGATTGGTTTTTGAATATTTTAGGACAGAGACCAGCAAGAAACATGGAAGTAAAAACATATCCATGTGCTTAGACAGGATCTGGAAGAAATTTTGCATTTTCATGTGGCCTGGTGCCATTAAGTATGTTATTTATGACACTTACTAAAAGTCTGGCACATCATATGCGATAGTTGTGCAAGCAAATCTGTTTTAGAATAAAAGTGTTAACTGAAATTGTATAATTGTATTTATTTAGATATTCTAATAATGCCTAGGACAGTCATTGCACAATTTTAAGACATGTATATGATTTAATATCCTCAAGTGCTGGGATATAAAAGAATATCAATGATTCTCACGATATCATTTTCATGAATAGCAATATGCCTTGTGACGACACATTCTCTGCAAATAATAAATACTAATGTGCCATTTATCATGACCGATATTGACTGATCTATCTTGATAGAAGTTTGCCCCTGTGGCAAAAGAATCTCTATAATTAGTGGCACAGATGAAATAAAAAGCACTCACCCTGCAGCAGTGACCAAACCTCCTCGTGGTCTTCCAGGGCTTGTTCGATCCTCCCCTGTATATTAGCCAGAGGCAGCAGCTCTGTGTGTCTCTTCATCAGCTCTTTTCTGTCCGACTCGTTCAGGTAAGCCTGCTGTAACCTGTCACTGAGCTGTCTGTGCTCGTCCACCAGCTGCCGCGCGTACCTCTGGACACACCGCTGCTCGTACACGTCCCCCACATCACTGTGACACAGACGTGCCGGTGCCTGTGTCCTCCACTGTGCCTCCTCTGGGATGTTAGCACACTTCTTCCCCTGTCTCGCCTGTGTCCTCCATCTCCCCCTGGCGCTACTAATGTGAACTACACGACTGCACAGTCCAAACCAGCGGCTGACGAGCATCGCACAACATTTACACAGCGACGGGTGAAAAGAAAAACTGATTACACGTGTTGTTCCTGTGTTTTCATTCCATCTTTAGCTACCAGGAAGAGAACCGGATGTACTTTTTCTTGCTCGTTTAATGGCGGCTAGGAAATCATCTTATACTTACATTACCGCCACCTACTGGGCTCATTGGGAGCAGTCACCTTAAAGAAGGAAAATAAAATTGTTTAGTGTTTTATATAAAAATGTAGAAACGATGCAAGAAATCAATTGTGGGATTTGTAGTTTAATCTGCAGGTCATTGGGCCAAGCTGTAGTTCACGATTAAAGCACTTTTGTGAGATTTCAAGATAAATAAAAGAGGCAAACACATGAGAATAAGAATAATAAAAGCTCAAAATGAGTCAAGAATAGAAACCAGAACTACCACAAAGACGTGTGTGCTAATGGAGTAAAAATGTTGTGTAAAAACTGCCCCCCAGTCAGATTTATTTTTAGCCACAGCGTTATTTATTCAATTTGTTTTTACTTTTTAATAGTGATTTTTGTTTATATACTGTTTATATAGATGAATTGTCTTTTTCATCTGATTAAATATATACCTGTATTATATTATCTGTGGATCGGTTAAATTTAAAAAAGGGACCTATATGACCAATATGGTCAATTTCATTTTATACAAATTGAATTAATTGCCCACCTATTTGTTGAAATATTATATATTTTTTATCATTATTTATAATTTGTATGACATGATTTGTTTATTTTACTATTATTGTTTTATTTGACCATGTATTATTGTATTCATAGTAATGTATTTACATCCATTTTAATTTAGTTTTGTTTGTGTGCAATTCAAGGTTAAATAAAGTTTTTTTTTGAAAGCGTCTGTCCAATTATTTGCCACGTCATTGTTTCATCCTTAATCAGCTAACAGCTAACTTAAGCTAACCAATGTAAAACATGTCCGATTTCAGTGAAGAAGGTAAGATCATATTGAACTATTTTAATATAATTACTGGCTAAATAAATAAATATAAAACATAATAATATATTATTAAAATTATTCGCTTATTTTAAACCTACATTGTTACTTACTCTTGTTTTTTTTAGTGGCTTTAACCTCAACAGGCGCTGCTAGCCACAGCTTTCTTAATGGCTTCCTATTTATTTTATAATTATCTTATAAGGTCACGGTCAGCTGGTTTTTGTTTTTAACGGACCGTCTCTCAGGCGGAGGAGAGAAGCGTCCAGGCTCTTCAATGACCAAGGCTGTGGAGGACGTCGGTCAACACAGCTTCACGCAGACCGAGGCCCTGAAGGAGACACAGGAAACCCTCAGCTCCCTGCAGGTTCACGTGTATCTCCATCTTTCACTCAAAACACACAGACAAGCAACAACTCCGTGTTTGTTTACACTTACACAATACACAGAAATTGAGATAACATAGTAAAGGTCATAAATAAGTCCAAAGTACAATGTAAACACAAGGAGTTATATAAAAATCCTTCATCTCTGTCAGACTTTACTTTAAACATTGACAAACCTCATATTATTATGTTGTTGAGGTGCTCTGCCACATTCAGGGATCCCTCGCTTGTCGCTCCCTCTGAGGTTTCTATTTTTATCCCCTGTTAAAATGTTTTTTCCCCACTCTATTAAGAACAGAGGATGTGACATAAATTGTGATTGGTGAATATAGGCTATACAAATATAATTTTATTGATTGGTTGATTCATGCCAGGGGTCAAGGGCAGAGGACATCATACCTTGTTATATCCTGATGTCTCACTACAGTTTAGCTTTGTTATTGCTGCTTTTAAAAAACAAAACGCCTCCTTCTCCAGGCGACTCTTTCAGATGGTCAGAAGAAGGCTGAGCTGGCAGAGCAGGAACTGAGATCCAAAGTGAGGGAAATGCTGGTGCTGGAGGGGAACGTAGAGCAGCTGCAGCGGCAGACAGAAGTCCTGCAGGATCGTTGTGTGTCCATCAGCAAGGAAAACACACAACTCCACTTTCGCATATGTGAGGAGGAAGAGAACGCTTGCACAGCGCTGGCAGGGATCAAAAGCTACCGGCACAAGATGGAGGGCCACAGAGCCGCTGTCTTGCGTGTGGCGAGCCAGACGGAGGCATATAAAGAGCTGGAGGAGAAGAGGGCGCTGGTCAGGATGTTGACACAGAAGAAAGAAGAACTGAGGGAGGATTTGGAGAGCTCAAATGGAAACACAGCACATTTGGCAAAGGTGGAGAAGACTTTGCATATCAGTTTTTTGACACCCTGTCCTTTCATTTGTGTATTTCCACAGACTCTGCTGCATTTGAAACCATTATATATTTTTTGTCATTTCTCCAGGAAGAGATTTATGCTCTGAAGGACGAGATCGCTGTGATGAGGACGATCATAGCTGAGCGGAGAGAGCGATTACAGAAAGAGTCTAAAACTCATACCCAGATGAAGAAAGACATAAAGGTGTGGTAAAGAGAAATTTGTCCAAAACACAAAAAATAAGTGCAGCACCTTTTCACATCTGAATTTAGAATGTACAGAATGTATAAAGATAATAGGATTTAAGCCCAAGATCATAGTTTGCATTTTTGTTTTAGCCTCAAATGAAAACTCATCAGCGTTTGTATGTGTCTCCACTGCCTCAGATCCAGAACAGGCGTTACGAAGCCATCGTCAAGCGACTCTACTGCCAACTGAGCAGGGCCCAGGCTGCCCACAGGTAAAAATAAAAACACAAAAACAACACCAGTGATGACACCAATCTACATCAACATGACAATTATTCTGCTCTTGGTGACAAACACAGCTCTACAGATCATAAAATACAGAACAAATTAATTTGTTTAACTCACAAAATTGCTGTTATAATGTTCCCACGTTTAAAAGGCTACCTCTGCTTTTTTTTTTTAGTCAAATGTGTGAAGATATCTACCACATGGAGAGACAGCTAGCTGAGCTCAAGAAGCAGCAGGAGTCATCACAGGACGCAGTGGGCCGTGGCCAGTAGACTGTAGTGTCAGCTTGTCTAATTTCAATATGGTTCATGATACGTTTTTATAATTGTCTTCTTATCAGATCCAATATTATCCATTGTTATAAATATTCAGGGTCTGAACTTTTGCTGTTGCAAAATTCAAACAGCAGGGGACAGCATTGTCAACTAAATGCTTTTATCTGTTTAACTTCATCACAATACCCTCACCTATTCTGCTGTAGACAGTTTAATACCAGATATTAACATAAAGGTTAAAGCTCCAATGTTCCAATAAACACACAAGTTATAAAACTGTACAAGTGTTAAGATATCTGCGTGTTGGCACATTATTAAATTCCCTTTAATAGCAGGAGTGATTTAATTTTTAGGAGCTGGTCTGGAAAAAAATTGGGATGTTAGCAGGGTGTGAGATGCGGTTTCAGGTCGATGGTGTATCCGCTTGTCCAGTGTGTGTCCACAACAGTGACACACGCAGAACAAAAGCCAAGTGTCCAAACTCTAACTGTCGATGCAGTGGTGTTGTTTTGGAACACGCTGTTCCAAGTGTCCGCTTCACTGGGTCGCCTGATGGTCTGCGAGATGACAGTCCCACTGTTGGCTAACAAGGGCGTGACTGTGCTACTTCAGCTACTTTAGCTCAAAACTAATTATGGAACAATTGAAATGCCTTTTCAGACAATTACTCCTCATAAAAATGTGTCGTGTCAGCCTCCGAGAAAAGCTATAACTTGTGAAATTAGTTTGCTTGAATGTCATATTTTTTCATCATGTGAGTCGTGTTCTTACAGACTATGTGTCTCTTTTTATTATTAGAACAGTTATTTTAAAGCAAGAGCAGTCGTCTTCTGTTGTACACAAGCAAGGTTTTGACCACAGGATGAGATAACATTGCATGGGTCTTTTTTGTGTGTATTTGTGCAGTTTTTATTTTGATCTTAAATCTGCCACATGTGTATATTTGACCACTCAACCACTCTATAACAAAACAAATCATTTTAAAACAAACACCGGCATCTATTTCATATTTGAACACAATTATTTCGGGAAATATTTGTGGAAACCCCAGTGCTGCTGTGCTCGGCCTCTCAAAACACGCTAAAATAACACACAACAATTTCAGTTTGCGAAAAACATCCTCATATGAAGGAGAGTCCAGAATATATATTAAAAGATTACTGTCAATGTCAAAGAGTGAATTTGTATTGCGTGTTTGTATCTGACATGTGCCTACATGCTCACACCCACAATGCCACTCCCAACAGTTCCACCTTTTAGATTACTCGGCTATTTCCTCTCTCCGTCCTTTTTATAGCCTAAACTCTTTCTCGCCGATATATTTTTCATCCTCATAACAATCATAACGCCAAAGTGGTGGAAACATAACCACGTGTGTAGTAATTGTTTTGACCATGAAATATGCCTTATCAGGCGTTCTGTGTTGCACTCCCTTAAAAAGGGGTTTCCACATCCTTGAAGTGAGTTCCTTTAATGGAAACGCTTTAAATATAAGCCACACATATCCTCCCAGTCCAGGCTAATTAAGCTGAGCTGACTGGGGACTTCATCAAGCACCGGCCTGTTAGCATATGCCGGTTTCATTTATTTGGCTGTGACACAATAATCTACTCCATTTTGGCATCAGTCGGCATTTCAGAATACACTTGGCTGACGCAACAGAGAACACAGAGGGAGAGTTTTGGGATTTACCAGCCAGTGGAAACCTGAAAAGCGTTAAAACGACAAACATGTCGGTTTAACACTCAACGTAATTCAGTCATCTTGACAGAAAAATTGAAGTAAATTCGTATAGTTCTACCTCACTTCCCTCTAAGAGACGTCTCCCTACCTTGTGTTGGCCTTTTTGATAAATGCGTGTGCCAATAAAACAGGCTTGGCGAGTTTTCACAAAAATGGAGAGAATCTCTGCAGAACGGCTGAGCTAAATTATTTCTCTGTCATCCTCAGGAGACGCAATGAGTCGTTTATTCATTTTCTCCTCAGAGAAAGTGGAGGCAGATGAGGACAGAGTGTGTATGCAGTTAAAATTCATTAAAAAGCAACATTAAGACTGAATACAAACACTCACTGGTGCAGCACAATCAGATGATAATAATTAGTTTATTTTACTTCCAGCCATGGGATAGATTCTGGACAGTTTATGATTTAGAAATTTCAGTTTGTTCAGTTAACAGCATTATTAACATGTCATGGTGATTATGTGCATCTGATTGGCATATTTACAACCGTTTGCAATTTGCTCTGGCGGGCTGCTATATGTAATGTGGAGGCCGAGGAGACAGGTGACTCTTGAGTGTGTGAGAAATCGTTATACATGCATGCCTCGAGTGTTGGGTTATGTGTAATAAATTCCTGAGCGCTTACAACTGTAGGTTGAGGTGTAGTTAAAGTTTGGCACGCTACAAAAACAAAGTAGTAGACACGTTAAATAAAAAGCAAGCGATGGACCGTGAGTGTGTCCTGCTTTCATTACGTGAAAATGTCAAAAAGGATTAGGTGTGTTTTTAGTTGCACAGATTTCCAGATGTCAAATCGATGTTTCAGTTGTGTTATCTCAGCTGCATAATCAATCGCTTCACATTTGTGCACGTGCAAGTGTGTGCAGGTGCATGCTGGGACTTTACGTCTGACTCATGTGATTCAAGTCCAGACTCGAGTTAAGCTAACACTCCGCTGGTGAAAACATGGTGTCGTCTTTAAGTGATGTAACTCACACGAAAATATATTTTGTAAAATCCGGACTGTAGATATAAGATCCCAATTTGAAACATTAAAGATATTAAGTAGTAAAGATTCAACCTGTTTCAATGGGAACGCCATTTTACACTCTATACTCAGTCCCATCATTCTGGCTTTGACCTTCATAAATCTCCAAGTAAGGATCTGCAACAACATCAATAGATCAGTGTCTGCATCAGAGTTTCATTAGAAAACAGACTCCAAAAGGCTTTAAGTTGCAGTGTGTCTTTGAAAGCTAGAGAAGTTAACTGTGTATGTAATACAGTCTGACATAGTCTACTCAGATATGAGATATAAGTGATTTTCACCAGGAACAACAATCAACTGGTTATTAAAAAAGCAATTGAAATATCAAATTAATTGATAAAAAGTATTTCTATTCACCAAACTGCCAAATAATTGATTTGGCAGATTTTACTCTGTAATCTGTGAGTTCCCAGCCTCTGATACGAAACCTTTAAAATTACATTTCATAAAAACATGTGCAGAGAAAGTTTAAATGAATATTTGCTCCTGATGAATTTTCCAGCCTTGAACTAAATGAATGTGCTGTCACACTTACTAAATTCAAATGTCTAACAACACTCACAGTTTTGTGCATATTTCAAAAAGTGAATCACTGGATATCTGGTCTTCACCACCCCTGACCCTGACCCTGACCCTCCCACCCCCCCTAGTAAAAGTCCTGCTGCCAGCTCGGGGCCTGACTCCCACCCAGCAGCTGTTGAGTATTGGGTGGCACTTCAGTTCAACTTGCTGTGTGTGTAGACAATCAGCTGAGCTGCTGTGTGCATGCGACCACATGTTTCTCCTGTGACATCAGCAGCTCAACGTCTGCACTTGAGGTTAAGGTGGGAGCGGGCGTTGAAATACGCCCTCGAATGAGCATCCTCCCTCCTCTCCACGTCGTAGGAGTCAGGAGAGGATACAGCATTTGTTTTCTCAGTTACAGAGATCAATTCCCAGAGAAACCTACATTTAAATGCTGCCAGATATCGTTTCGCTGTGGATTTAGTGCTGCACAAACTCTGAGGCAGCAGCTTGTAGTCCACTTTCACTGAGACAGTGTGTTTACCTTTTTCTGTTTGTTTAAGTAATTGCTGTCTCAGTAAAGTCATCCAGACGGCTCCGTCTCACAGAGCAGTAATCCTGATTCATGAGAGCGGCCTCTGGTTTATGTCAGAAAAATAAGTGTGTGGTTAGGAAAATTATAAAGAAGTGAGGAGGAGATATCCATCTGAAGCTATGATTATGGAAAACCACCGTGACGCTACCTAGCCTCAAATTGCTCCCGTTGGTCCGTGTTAGACTAAACAGCTTTCCAGTTTACTGTCAAAACCTGCTGCCCCATTTTCCTTTTTCTTTTATCTGCTCAGATAAACTCGTCTGCATGTGATTCATCATTTACAAATCATTCTTTCAAATTAGAGCAGGTCCACTGGGTGAGTCACCAGGGCATTTGTTTTTATGTTCCTCCTTTCCAGAAAACTGTGCCCTTTGTTTCTTGGCATCATCCGCACACAGAAACCAAGTCAAGGTGTTCAGAATAATGTCAGGGTGTGGCTGCTCATTAGCTTGAGGAATGTTCTTGATTTGAAAAGGTACAGAATGGCCCACAGTTGACTCCAACTAGGTACTCGAGAGAGCATGATGCGGCTGAACGGTCTCACTTAACTCCAGGAAGTAGCCCGGGACAAAAATAGATGCAATAAAGGAAACCTTCAACCCACAAACACGCCCACAGCTGAGCCTCACCCAGACATGTACCTGAGCAAAGTAAACAAAGACGTATATTTTTATGTCCTGGTGTTCATGACAGATAAGAGAAAGTCTGTCTGATGCATGTACTTTGCAACAGTATATATAGTGAGTCATGAGTTCACTTGTACACACAATCACCCAAATAAACCAAACATATATATATATATATATATATATATATAGTATAAAGTATTGTGTAAGAGGCAGTATATCTGGTCCCACTGCTAAATGTACATCTGGAGGTGTGCACAGTCAGCTGCACACCCACCCACCAGGCTGTGAGTCATTCTTGTAAATGCTGCTCAGCATCTTAAATCCTCCGGCACTAATCATGGGATGGACACAGTGTACTTGCAGAATACTGAAGTACAGGAAGCCAAAGCACAATTTAAAATAAGAATAATAAACTTTATATATATTGGACATTTCTCAATGATATTACAAATAGTTTTACAAGGAAACAACAAGAGTAAAACAACGGAACACAAGCAGAGAAAATAGAACAATCGAACAGATAGAATTATATAGGCCTTTAAAGTGAGTGATAACATTTTAAAATCAATATATAATTTCATAGGGAGCCAGTGTAGGGAGGAGAGCACACACAAGCAATGTGGTCATTAATTAATAGAAGAAACCTGAGTAAAGTGTATTACAGCAATTAAGGTGAGATACTATAAAAACATGTACAACTTTTTGTTGTTTAAGTCAAGTATTTGAGTCCAAAAATCTGTTGTTCAAACAT